TGTTCTTCTGTTGAAGGACATCTAGGTTGTTTCCAATTTCTGACTCTTATGAATAGAACATCAGTGAACATGGTTGAGCAAGTGTCTCTGTGGTAGGATGAGTCATCCTTTGGATATATGCCCAAGTGTGGTAGAGCAAGATCTTAAGGTAGATTGATTCCCATCTGGAATCACCATACTTATTTCTATAGGGGCTGTACAAGTTTTCAGTCCCACCAACAATGGATGAGTGTTCCACTTACTCCACATCCTCACCAGTATGAGCTGTCATTTGTTTTATTGATCTTAGTTATTCTGACATGTGTAAGATGAAATCTCAAAGGAGTTTTGATTTGCATTTCCCTGATGACAAAGGATGTTGAGCACCTCTTTGTTTCTTAGCCATTTGAGTTTTCTCTTTTGAGAATATAATGTTTACATTTGTACCCCATTTTTAATTGGGTTACTTGTTTTCTTGATATGGAGTTTTTGGAGTTTTTAAAATATATACATATATATGTATAAACACACATATATAACATATGTGTGTGTGTGTGTGTGTGTGTGTGTGTGTGTGTGTGTGTGTGTGTGTGTGTGTTGGATATTAGTCCTCTATCAGATATGTGGTGAGTAAACTATTTTCCTATTCTGTAGGCTACCACTTGATTTGATTGACTTTGCCTTATAGAAGCTTTTCAGTTTCATGAGGTCCCATTTATTAACTGCTGATCTTAGTGCCCGCACTATTGGTGTTCTGTTGTGTTCTGTTCAGGAAGTTGTCTCCTGTGCTAATGAGTTCAAGGCTGTTTCCCACTCTCTCTTCCACCAGGTTCAGGGTGTCTGGTTTTATGTTGAGGTCTTTGATCCATTTTGAGTTGAGTTTTGTGCAGGGTGATAAATGTGGATTTGGATTCCTCTACATGAACCCATCCAGTATTACCAATACTATTTGTTGAAGATGCTGTCTATTTTCCAGTGTGTGTTTCTGACTTCTTTATCAAAAATCAGCTGTCCCTAGTTGTGTGGATTTATGTCTGATCTTCAATTTGATTCCATTGATTGCCCTGTGGGTTTTTGTGCTAATACCATGCTGGGTTTTTATTATTATTCACTTTTATTGATTCTTTGTGGTTTTCACATCATGCATCCAGATCCCACCCATCTCCTCACCCCACCCCTCTAAATCCCCTCCTCCCTTGCAACCTCTCCCCAAAAGCAAAGCAAAATTTAAAAGAAACACCAAAAACCAAACCAACAAATAAACAAAGCAAAACAAATCAGAAGATGAAAGAAGAAAGAGAAAGAAAGAAAAAAATGTTCTCGTTGTGGAAGCTGTGGTGCGGCCCGGTAGGTCACCCACACATCCCACCCTTTAGTCCTTCTGTCTTCATTTACAAATGTTCATTGCCATGAGTCATGGGTCTGGTTCGAGGCCTGTGTCCTCTGTCACCCCATCGACAATGGGCTCTCACCTGGCTCCCTGCTCCCCACTGCCCTCCAGTTCGTGCCATTGTCCAGTGTCATGGAGATCCTGCAGTCTGGGATCTGTAGGCTGGTCCCCTTCTCATGCTCTAACAGTTCATAGATGAGGTGGATGTTGGGGTGGGCCACCTCACAGCCCCGGTCCTGGGCCTGGGTGTCAGCTGGACTGATCAGCCTGCCAGCTTTCCCCCCTTATCACCCGCCCCCCACCCCTGCACACTCTCCATCACAGCCTCTGCCAGCCCATCCAATGCAGCCTGTTCACCTGCTCTCAGGCCCTCCCTTGGGTAGGCTCACTCACACTCACACCACCAGGACCAGCTCCACTGTTTTGCCCAGGCAAGGTGCAGGTTGCTCTCCCCCAAATGCTGTCGAGGCATAAGAGTGGGGAATCAGTTCTCCTACTCTCATGCCTTCAGGGTTGGCTCGTCAGGTCCCTGACAACAGGGTCATCTCTAGTGTGCTGCCCAGGTGAGGTGCAAGCCTGTGGTGCAGGGTGGGCCATATTTCCCGAGTGAAGGGGTAGGAGGGTAGCTCTCCTATTGCAGTATCCTGTGAGGGACAGGGCCAACCATCCCAGGGCCAGGGAGGGGTGTGGCCAACTCAGTACAGCCCTCTCAGATTTCAACACAGTGGTTCCTATGATCCCTTGTGGCGACCCAGGCCATGGACACTAGCACAGACCCCAGCTGCAGCAGAACTATGGATCTAGACGTGGCCATCAGCAGCAGCTCAGGCCTGGACATCTCCATGGCCCCAGCGGCAGCAGAAGCCACCAAGATCAGTGTGGTCCTGGTGGCTGCATGGCCCTCAGACACCAACATGGTCTCAGGTGGCCGACAAGATCCTGGGCATCCTGGGGCCCCAAACATCAACTCAGACTCTGGCTGCAGTAGGACCATGGATCCAGTCAGACATGGCCCTCAGTAGCAGCCTTGGCCCAGAGGACACCATGGCCCTGGGTGACATTGTAGGCCACTCAGATCATTGTAGCCCTGGAAGCAGCACAGCCCTGAGACACTCATATGGTTGTAGGTTGTGGCCTAGATCTCTGGCATCCCTGTGGTCTTTGGTAACAGCATGGGCTGCAGACATCAATACAGCTCCTGGCTGTGGTAGGACCATGGACCCAGACATGGTCCTAGGAAGCAGCCCATGGCCCCAGGTAGCAGTGCAGGCCACGAGATTTGGCATGGCCCCCATGGCAGTGTGTGCCTTGGATGCCAACATGTCCCCAGGTGGTGGCCTTGACTCCCAGCATCAACATTGCCCTTGATGGTATTAGGAGCCATGGACACCAATGCAGAAATGGCTGTGGGAGAGCCATGGACCCAGACATGGCCCCTGGCAGCAGCCCCATCTTGGGCGACACCATGGCCCCAAGTGATAGTACCAGCCACTCAAGTCAGCATGGTCCAGTGCAGCACAGCCCTTGGTTGGTGCGGAGCTGTTGCTGACCTCCTCTCGCAGCTAGAAACCCGGAGCTGTATTTGGTTGAGTCTTGCCTACCCCAGCTGCATGGCATAGGGTGGAGCTGTGGCTGCTGTTTTTATTGCTATATCTCTGTAATACAATTTGAGGCCCGGGATGGCGATATCGCCAGCAGTTCTTTTATTATTCAGGATAGTTTTAGCTACTCTGGGTTGTGTGTGTGTGTGTTTTTCAAGATTTGTGGGGATTGGAATTTTGATGGGAATTTCTTTGAATCTGTAGATTACTTTTGGTAGGATGGCCATTTTTACTATATTGATCCTATGGATCCATGAGCATAATAGATCTTTCCATGTTCTGATATCTTCAGTTTCTTTCTTCATTGTCTTAAAGTTTTTATCATACAAGTCTTTCACTTGCTTGGTTAGAGTAACCCCAAGAGATTTTATATTATTTGAGGCTGTTGTGAAAGGTGTTGTTTCTCTGATTTCTTTCCCAGTCTGTTTGTCATTTGTATATGGGAAGGCTCATTGATTTCTATGAGTTAATTTTGTGTGCAGCTACTTTGCTGAAAGTGTTTATCATCTGTAGGAGTTTCCCAGTGGAATTTTAGGGTCACTTATGTATACTATCATATTACCTGCAAATAAGGATACTTCGACTTCTTCCTTTCCAATTTGTATCCGCTTGATCCCCTTCAGTTGTCCTACTGCTCTAGCTAAGACTCCAAGTACTATATTGAATAGGTATGGAGCAACCTTGCCTTGGATTTTAATGGAATTGCTTGGGGTTTCTCTCCATTTCAGTTGATGTTGGCTATGGGCTTGCTGTAAACCACCTTTATTATGCTGAAGTACGTCCCTTGTATTCTTTATCTCTCCAGGACTTTTATCTTGGAGAGGTATTTGATTTTTGTCAAAGGCCTTTTCTGCATCTAATGAAATGATCATGTGGTTTTGTTTTTCAGTTTGTTTAGATGGTGGATTACATTTATCAATTTACATATGTTGAACCATCCCTGCATCACTGGGATGAAGCCTTCTTGATCATGGTAGATGATCTTTTTGATGTGTTTTTGGATTTTGGATTTGCAAGCATTTTTTTTTTTTAAAAAGTTTTATATATTCATAAGGAAAATTGGTTTGTAATCCTCTTTCTTTGTTGGGTCTTTAATGTTTCGGTAGGGTTACTTATATTTTCTTGTAAAATGCTTTTGGATTAATAGAATACTAACATTAAAAAAAGAGAGATTAGTACCTCACAGTGGTCTGAGTTTGTTAAAGAATCATACTAGTTCCATTTAACCATACCAAAACATTAGTCTCTTCTCAGTGCTGTCTTTTCTGTTATGTTTTACATGTGTGTACACACACACACACACACACACACACACACACACACACACACTCACACACTCACACACACAGACTGAACCAGGGTGGAGTTCATCAAACTTTGTCGTCTCTGCCTTTGGATATAATGCTATGAGATCCTAGCTTTGTGCATTCTCTAAGAAGTGGAAAGAGAGGAGGAGCAGGAGAAGCAGGAGGAAGAGGAGGCAGAACAGTATGGTTGTATTGATTGCCCCAGATATGGGAACTAATTGCCTACTTTCAGTCTTAGGGTCCAAGAGAAGGCAGAATTGGCAGTGACTGTGGGCTGAATGAAAAGTCAAAGGCAGTATGCCTTTGCTCTGAGTGACCAGGGATTATGTAGGGAAGACAGACAAAAATTCTTAACAAATAAAAAGATGTGATGGTGTTAGCAGCTTATTCCAGTCAATTTAAGGATGCTATGAGGGGAAATGTTGCAAACCAAACAGAAATCTGATGGCTTTTTCTTTCAAAATAATTAACTCATAACTATAAATTATACATGTTATTATTTCATAAAGCCTTTCCAATTAAATGGGATAAAGGAAGATGAGTTTGGCTGCCCATGGATAATTTTTCTGACACCAGCTTGAATATAACAGCTGGTTGCATGGTTCATAATGTGACGGGGAAACAGAGGCACGGGGTGGACCACAGGTGACGTGTAGGCCACGTGCAGTGAGCATCACACCAACAGGCCGGCTTAGAGGAGAGCCCAGCGGAGCTGGAAAGCAACCGAACAGCGCATGAGGGTACCCAAGCTCAGTGATGCCTGAGTGTGTGTGAAGAGGACTTTCCGGGTGGGCAGCATGACAGTTATTAGTCGGCACAGAATGGCTGACATTAGCTGCCCGGGGAACCGAAAAGGGACCAGTGATGTAATCTGTTATATAACCGTTCCTGCAGGAATGCCGCTTCTGTGTGGACAGTACAGAACTATGGCCTTGCGAGCAAAAGCCTTCACCTTCACTTTGTTCTTGCCAGACTGCCTGTGTGTGTCTGTTGCTGGCCTGTGAGCTGCCCACCTGTGCCTTATGTGCCAGTCTATGTGAGTATCCATACCTGCTTGTGGTCAGCCCGTGTGCTCTGGCATGTTTCTGTTTCTTCTGTGCGGCAACCTCATCACAGAGTGAATAAAGTGTGTCTGTGTCTCGTCTGCCACGGCCTCTCACAATCTTTTCAGCCTCCCCGGCTGCTGTTACTCTCTTCCGTTCCTGGTATTCGCTTAGCTTCACATGCTAAGTCTTAAGTCTCTTCATGTTCTTTCACCACCAGAAGCAAATCGTTCTCAATTCTGGTTTGCAGCTTCTCCCGAAGGAGAGATTTCCATTCTTTATTTTTTTATTTTTATTTTATGATCATTTGTGTTTTGCCTGCATGTGTATCTCTGTGAAGGTGTCAGAAGCCCTGACACTGTTACAGACAGTGGTGAGCTGCCATGTGGGTGCTGGGAGTTGAACCTGGTTCCTCTGGCAGAGCAGCCAGTGTTCTTAACCACTGAGCCATCTCTCCAGCCCCTAGATTTCCATTCTGTAACCAAGTCATCTTCATGCCAATCGTGAGAAATGGTGAGATTAATTCATATTCCTTCATTACGAATGGTGGAAAAACTAAATGCTGAGAGGAAAAGTAAGTATCATTTGAGGAGAAGGGCTCCACCTTTATCCCTTTGACAATTTCAGCTGCAAACCCAGAAAAAGGCAAATTGCTCCCATGAGAGTTTAAATGTGATTGAAATCTTGCAAGATAAAATAAGGATTATTATCATTGCTGGGAATTCATGCCATTTATCTTTGGTGCACCCTTCTGATCTTGAACAATGAATTTCCAATATTTACCACTGGGTTGACAACAAGTTTCAAAGGGATTTTTGGATGGAAAGTTCAATATGAACTAAAATTTCTCATTTCTGACTTCCTTTGCAAGTCAATTTGAACAGCAGTGCAGGATAACCAGGGTCCCCGTGCTCAGTCTCACGTTCCAGATCCAGGCTGGTGAGCTCCGTGAGGGAGGCGGTGGGGCTGGTAGTAAGTATGTCTTCTTGAGGGATGCGTCATATTCTCCCGTGGCTTGAAAGCTCTGACACCATGACCCTGAATAAGTCTTTCATGGCTATAAATTGGGTATCTTGCAGATTTTTAAAAACTTTTTTATATTTATCCATTTTGTGCTTTCTCTCTCTCTCTCTCTCTCTCTCTCTCTCTCTCTCTCTCTCTGTGTGTGTGTGTGTGTGTGTGTGTGTGTGTGTGTGTGTGTGTGTGTGTGTGTGTACACATCATGGCAACCAGAGGACAGCTAATAGGAGTCTGTTCTCCCCTTCCACGATTGCAGGTTCCGGGGATCCGGTCTGTGGGTGAGCACCCTTACCCACTGTGAAATCCCACCAGCTTTCTCTTCGATTTTTTTTTTTAAGTGATGGAAAGCTGGGTTATGCAACCTGTTAGTCTTTTCTCTCAAAGGCCTCTATTCACATGGCTTTATCAAATGTGTCATGGGAAAGGCTTCAGGAAGTTGGCAAACTCTGGGGAGCAGCCCTTGGTTCCCTTGAGGTGGAACAGTTAGAATGGGAAGGTGGCGTAGCACCAGGAAGAACTCAGGACAAAGCCTTTCTGTGAAGGCCTCGTTCTAAACACACAAACCCGGAGCCTCAAAGAATGAGCAGATCTGCAAGGCTGCAGTTTGATTTAGTAAGTGCATTCCAGAATTACAAATACAATGGGTGATTAAAAGAAACTAACCAGGTTTCTACAAGAAGTCTAGCACACACAGTTCTTTGTGCCTAATCCACATGAAACTTGACTATGACAAAGCCATTTGACTGAACGCACTCGGGCCCACCTCCTCTTTAGCACAGCCATTGGAACAATCAAGAAATCATCCATTGTGATTTCTTTTTTTTTTTTTGGTTTTTCGAGACAGGGTTTCTCTGTGTAGCTTTGCGCCTTTTCCTGGAACTCACTTGGTAGCCCAGGCTGGCCTTGAACTCACAGAGATCCGCCTGGCTCTGCCTCCCGAGTGCTGGGATTAAAGGCGTGCGCCACCACCGCCCGGCCCATTGTGATTTCTTAAGAGAAGTCTAGCTTCTTGTTTTTAAAACACTCACTCATGTGAACAGATGACGTTTTGCACTTGCAGGGAAATGGTCACCGGATTGCCCGACACAGCTGGAGGAAATGACTCTCCCAGCAGTGACCCACGGGCTCAGACACAGATGTGGAGCAAGTACTTAAAGAGCATTAAAAAGTCCTGTGTGATTAAATTAGTCTGGATTGGGACCAAACACACTGTCTATGGATTATATCTTTGCCTGCGTCTTCTCTGGAGAAACAATGTCTTTCTCTTTAGAAATCAGCTCTCAGAGAGTAGGCTAATTAAAGTAAGTTTTTGATCGGTTTATACAGCTCTGCCTGGGGTTGTTCTGGTTTGATTACTTTAAAAATCTCAAGTCTTAGAAAATTTCCTGAATCTTGGTTAAACTGGGAGCATTAGGAAGTCTACTTTTTGTAGCCACAAATTCCCTTTGGACACACCCTACAAGAGACTTAGCTTTTAGCAGCTTCTAATCTCCACTGTGAGTTAAAGTCAACGTCCCCATATCCTTTTCCTACTCTGTCTTCATCAACAGTAGTTTATTCTCTCTTCTACCCCATAGCTCTGGGTATCCAAAGACTCACAGTCCACTCCATGCTTCCCCAGTCTCTCCTCTCTCCTCTGAGTTAAGTTGACTCACCCCTTCACCTGCTCCTCAAATGTTCTTCTTATTAACAACCTCATTAAGCCCTCTGGGCAGGCTCATCTGACTAGCTCCCCCGAGTAACACACAAGTTGAGCTCATACCTTTGCGTACTGCTGGACTAAGTCCACGAGCTCCACGCCATGCTCCATAGCATGTTCTCATGTGGACAGATTGACATTTCTTCAGCTCACTTGGCTGCTACCTCCCACGGTTGGTGAATAATAATTCATGTCAACAGAGAAGCATGGAGAATTTTTACACATGCTGTTATTGGAAGTTCTACTCTCCCAAGATTATGCAACTGGCCTTTAGATCCAAATACCACCCATTGATCATTTAAAGTGAACCCATTATTCCAACACATGGCTCCAGCTTTGGATCATAATTCCATCACCTAAATTACTCACTCCAGCAGCTCTGTTCCAGGTTCGTGTAGTCTGCAAATGTTCTCAACGTGTCAACATCTGTAGTCATTCAAGTGATTGGCAGAACTGTTGACCGGGTCAGGATTGGAAACCAGAAGATTAGTCAGTGATTGCTGTTTCTGCACAAAAGCAGGTACTTTTATACCTTTATATTTTAAATAGAGTACCTGTGTACTTTCTTGAAAATAATTTCAATGGCCTTCCTTTCCAGATTTTGGAAGAGAATCTGAAATATGGAAGTACAAATACATTGTAGCAATATTTCCTTCATTTCAACAACTTCAGTAAAACAACTGCAGATCCATGAACATCCCTGGGATGTACTCTCAATAATCCAAGTACCTTTTACAAGAGCCTGTTTTATCCCAACAATGCTACCCTGGCGACCAAGACTTTAATACATGGATTTTGTTTGTTTGTTTTTGTTTTTGAGACAGGGTTTCTCTGTGTAGTTTTGGTGCCTGTCCTGGATCTCGCTCTGTAGACCAGGCTGGCCTCGAACTCATAGAGATCCACCTGCCTCTGCCTCCAAGTGCTGGAATTAAAGTCATGTGCCACTACCGCTCAGTCAATACATGTTTGGGTTTTTTTTTTAACATTTATTTGTATTTTATGTGCATTGGTGCTTTGTCTGCATGTATGTCTGTGTGAGGGTGCTGGATTCCCTGTAATAAGAGCTATAGACAGTATGAGCCATCATGTGGGTGCTGGGAATTGAACCCAGGTCCTCTGGAAGAGCAGCCAGTGCTCTTAACCTCTGAGCCATCTCTCCAGCCCCAATACATGGGTTTTTGAAAGAGGCTGATAATCATCTGTTTCAGATCCCAGAGTCAAGCAGAGAACTGAATGGGAACCGTCTATGCAGTGTACCTATTTTCCTGGTTCCTCTTTGAATGTATATATACACTAGGCTTGCATTTGCCCTTCTCTGTTGAAGTATAGTCACATGACTTGTATTATCCAAAGACAGGGGTGCAGTGAAATACATTGTACACTAGCAGAAGCTTTAAAAGCCAGCTGTGTGGATTGTCACATTTCCTTCCCACTGTTGTTTGAATCAGGGAGGAAGGTTTCAGGATGAAACCTTAACCTGTGTCCTTATGACCAGATTCCCTCTTCTGATACACATTAGATAGGCAGGTTGGGAGGGAAATGCTCACCCCGAAACTGGAAGCTTTATCGTTACAGAAGGATGTGTCTTAGTTAGGTTACTATTGCTGTGACGAAACACCATGACCAAAAGCAAGCTGGGGAGGAAAGGGTTGATTTGGCTCACACTTCCACATTGCATTCATCACTGAAGGAAGTCAGGACAGGAACCCAGACAGGGCAGAAACCTGGAGGCAGGAGCTGATGCAGAGGCCATGAAGGAGGGCTCCTTATTGGCTTGTTCCTCATGGCTTGCTCAGCCTGCTTTCTTATAGAACCCAGGACCACCAGCCCAGGGATGGCACCACCCACAGTGGGCTGGGCCCTTCCGCATCAATCACTAATTTCTAAATACCCTACAGACTTGCCTAAAGCCCAATCTTTTTTTTTCCCCCCTCTTTTGCCTACAGGCCAATCTTATGGAAGCATTCTCGCAGTTGATGTTCCCGCCTCTCAGAGGACTTGAGCTTGTGTCGACTTTGACATGAAACTACTCAGCACGGGACGTAAACGTAGAAAAAGACATGGGCTTCTGTTTGCAGGACGCCGAGACTGGAGAGGAAGAAAGTATATCCACAAATACGAAAGTAAGGACTGAACTGACTCGGGTGAAAACATTAAGTTAGAAGGCTGAGATAATTAGCGATGAGACGTTGCGCTAAAGAAAGCGGCTCAGACAGCGCGGGAGTCAAGTAGAGGACAGCCCGGCATGAACTTTCTGTTCTCGGCAAACATTTCCCTCCCATTAAACCAAAGGGCCCGCAGGATTAGACAATTTACCGAAAGGGAGTCTAGATAATGGCCCTCCAGATAGGTTGACACTTCTCTTTTAAAACTGTAATAAAGGTGTGGGCTTGATTTATGGCACCGCTTTACATGTATTTGGTTTTAGCCTTTTCAGCAGCTACCGCTAACAAAGCACTTAGGCTTTTCTTTAATGGATGTGTTATAGGTCTCTGTCCTTCAGAACCACAGACACACCACACTCTGTGCAGACAAAGAGCTCACCCTCCCCAGGAGTTTTACAGGAATCTCAGCAATTTTGATAATGCAGATAGAATGGAACTGATCTAGGCACCCACTTAAAATATGATTTACTTTCTCCCATAGAAAGGTCTATGGTTATAAGCATAAAAATAAATATACTCAACATCAACTAGAGTGCTCTAGCAAAAATGTGGCCTTGTTTCTTTTAAAAATACATTAAGTATGCCATTTCACAGGGTTGGAGGGAGTTTGGTATTAGGTAGAACATTCACTCATTCATTCATCAGAGGTTCGCCGAGTACCTGTTCTCCCAGGGACACTGCTGAAGCTGACTGATCATTAACTGGCAGGATAGTTAAGGGTCTGTCTTGAAGGAGCTTACAGAATGGAGGAGCAGGGTGGGAAGATGGGCGTGTTTATTTTGAGACAGGACCTTACTGAGTGGTTTGGGATGACCTTGAACTCACTATCGTCCTATCTCAGCCTCCTGAGTGCTAGGATTAGAGTCACGTACCCACTTAGAAAGCCTATGAAAAAGATGGCATTTCCACACCTTGAGCCTGTGATGGGTGGTGTGGTCATGCGGATTCCTAAAGTGGACTCCAGGCCTGTCCACTAAGATCCCGGTGGGAAGCCCTTTTCCCTTTAGCAGCATTAACAACTGTGCCTTCCCACCCTCCGCAGCCACACCTTCACGGGCACACCTTTGAAAAACGTCAGGTTCTACTAATTCTCCCCTCCTGCTCTCTCTCATCACCGATTCTCACGATAAATGAGCTCCAAGTAAGCAGTAGCATTCATGATATGGCCTGGCCCCAATCTGCTTTGAAATAGGACAAACTATTCCATTACACTTAAACTTGACCTCCAATAATATGCCAGGGTCTGGACAGAGTGCATCCTTATCCTTCACAAGGAACACCTTTAGTCTAAAAGATTCCCCATTTCCATCTGAGTTCTCATTGATGTGGCCTCTACCGTCACATTCCTATCAATAGTCTGGTCTTCAGATCTCCACCAAAATTGGTTTTTCTGACTTCCCCAAATTTTTCCAGATGCCTCTCATAAACCAACTCCAACACCATTTCCACACGGTCAGGCAACCTAATGCCATGATGGTATTGTCTGTGGTAGTTACTTCTGACACTTGAACAAAACACTTGGGACAGTTTTTCATAGAGAAGGGTTATTTGAGCTTGTAGATCCAGAGGTTCCAGTCCTCAGTTTCCCTTTTTCTTTGAGTTTGAGGTACTGGAGCACAAACACCGTGGAATGCGTAACAGCCAAATTACTCACTGGTGTCCAGGAAACAAAGGAGCAAAAGAAAAAAAAATTCCTGGGGTCTCATGATTCCCTTTGCCCAGTGATCCAAGGACCTTCTCCTATAACACCCCACCTCTCAAAGGTCCCAACACTTCACCAGAGTACCACTCTAGGGAACACTTGAGGCTAAAACTATAGCAAGGGAAACCCAGCTGAGAGTGAACATACCCTGAAGATGGACTGTCTAAGAATATGTCTGCCGTGTGCTCCCTACTGAGGGAGAAACACAGGAGTGTCAGAGGAGATTAAAGCTGAGCGTGTGACCATCATAACTGCAGATGGAGTTTTGAAAATAACTAGAGATGAAGTTAACGTTGGGTAGACCCCCATGGGCCTTTTAGCCCAGGTTAGCGATTTGTCCCAAATGTCACCCCAGGTTTTGAAGAGGGGGTATGACAGGATGAAATTTCTATTTTAAGAAAGTCTTCTGACACCTGCATGAATAATGGATTAGAAGGAGAATAGAGCTGGGGGACAAAGAAGAATTAGTTATTGCAACAGTTCAGGCAAGAGGTGACAGTCACCTAGACGGGAGTGGGTGCAGAGGTAAGGGCATGAAGTACGCAGACTAGAAATGCACTGAGAAGGAAGCTTACCAAGGTTGCATGAATGTCAAAGATGGCGGATGTGTCAAGAACTCTCAGTTTCTGACATAGATAGTGACGGATGGATGGTGGAGTGGGGGAGCTGGAGCAGGAGGGTTAAGGGGGAGGGGGGATGAAGAGGGGGACAAGAGAGGGAATACAGGGAGAGACAGCTAAAATCAAGGGCTGTTGGAGGGGTAGTATGGAAACCTAATACAGTAGAAGCTTCCTAACACACACACACACACACACACACACACACACACACACACACACACACACACACACACGAAGATGATATACGTGAAATTGCCAAGCAGTGGGAAGACAGAGCTCTAACTGGACATCTCTTGTTACCAAATGAAGCTTCTAGTACCAAGATTGGGTTACATCTAATTGCCTTGTTGACCAAAGGTTCCCATGGGAATCACCAAACCACCCAGGTTGTTGCCAAGACTCTAGGTTGCTCTGCACAAACTGATGACAAGCACCTCACAACCCATTGAACATGGAGAAGTCCAGCTGGTGCCTGTATATAGAGCCTTCATCCCTATGGACTAGAGTCTTTGGTACAGGAAGGTAGTCTGCATCCTATCAAAGGAGAAACATAAACACCAGCCCTGTCACAAACCCTTTGATCCACATGGTGTCCTGCCTGCAAGATATGCTAGGGCAATGGTAGCACAAAGCTTGTGAGAGCAACCAACAAATATCTGATTTGACTTCAGGCCCACTCCATAAGATGGAACTCATACCTGATACCGCTTGGGTAACCAAGAACTAGATAGCCCAGGGGTGTATGGTAAAGCCAAATACTACTGTTCTACTAAAAGAATGCAGTAATAAAATGATTCCAAATGACATTCTGCTATACTCATAGATCAATGCCTTGTTCAACCATCATCAGAGAAGCTTCCTAGCATATATGGGAACAAATACAGAGACCCACAGCCACACAATATGCAGACGGTGAGAGACCTGGGAACACTCAACCCTCCCCTCAAGGCTCAGGGAACCCCTCAGTGTAGGATGAAAAGGGTCAAGAAAAAACACGCTGCTCCTGACTAGCCCTGATACCGGGGCCAAGGCGAAACACCCTAACTTGACCCCAGGACCAGGACTTGAAATCCCAGAGTCAGGCTGCAGGATCCCACCAATCCCTGAGCACAAAATTCCACCAATCCCTGAATTTGCCCCAGAATCAGGCTACAAAAATCCACCAATCCCAAGCCACCCTGGAAAGGTCTGGGGGTGGGAGGGCAAAACCCTATATAAGCTCCTTGTTCTGTTTGCTGCTGCTTCTGACCCTAGAGGCAGCCACCCTCTTGGATTCTTTCTTTCCAATAAATCTCTTAAATGAGGTTTGTTGTGTGGTGTGACATTTTCCCTGGAGAAGAGCCCAGTTGTAACAACTTTTGCCCAGGCGGGAGAGGAGCTGAGCAGAGCCGAACTGTAACTCTTTCACTGGAGAAACTTTCCCCCAACAGAGCAGAGTTGAGTCGTTACACTCTGTGGGACCTGAGCAGAGCTGTAACACTTTTCTAGAGCAGAACTCTAACAGCTTCCCTGGTGAAACCCTCCTCTGCCAGAGCTGAATTGTTACACTTGCATAGGGGAAACCTTTCCCTGGAGCCGGGCTGTAAGCTGCTATGCTTACAGTGACTTTGTGGTGTTCCTTGGCTCCCAACTGCCAGGATACCTTTCCATCCAAGCTGCAACGCTTACACTCAGAAGAGGAGGCAGAAAGAATCTAAGAGCCAGAGGGGATGGAAGACTCCCTCTAAAATCAACAAGATCTATGCCCAAATGAACTCACGGAGACTGAAGCAGGATGCACAGTGCCTGTACAGGTCTGCATCAGATGGGGTTCTAGAGCTGAAAGGAGAAATGGACACTTGCATCCCTAACTGGTAGCTGTCTTCAACTGACAACCACTTGAAAAATGAAAATTTAGTTTTTTTCAAGGGAGTCTCACTGGAGAAACAAACTGCTCTTGAGGGCAGACTGCATGCCCAGCAGTTAATGGCCAACAGAAAATGAACTCAGTAGCATCTTTGGAGGTTCCTTGTCTTACAACGTTGTGTCAAGATTTTCTTTTTAATCTTACGTTTTATTTTTAATTTTGTTTATTTGTTTTCTCTCTTTTTACCCTACAGGTCCTTTGCATATATATTATGACTCCCAGTTTAGTGTTTTTCGGGATTCCTGAGTGAGTGAACGAATGGATATCTGCATCTTATATCTGTCTCTTGTGTCTTTTCTTGGGTCTTTTCCTTCTGTTTGTTTTGTCCTATTCCAATATGTTAGTTTTTGTTCTATCTTATTTTATTTTATTATTATCCCTTAGAAGCCTGTTTGTTTATAATGAGAGAGAGAGAGAGACATGGGTGACTCCAGATAGGAGGGGAGATGGGAAGGAACTGGGAGGAGTAGGGGGAGGAACCATAATAAAAGAAAAAACAGGACGTGGGAATTGCCTGGAGGAAAACGTTAAGTGAAAAAAGCAAGGCTATGAAATGATGTCTGTGAGACCTAGTTTTATACAAAACAACCCCAAAACAGACATCTATTAATCAAAAACAAAAGAAAATACCTAAAAATAATTTGTTTTCCCTGAAAGCTGGATTCCTGTTCATTCTCAAATTTTTTAAATCTATCCCCCGAATTGTCTATAGGAAATATGCATTACTTTTATGATCAAAATGTTTTGAACAAACGAAAATATGCAAGATGATATATTAATTTCAGCAAAATGGGGCATAATGTTGGAACCATTGTTTCATTTTCTTGAAATGAAAGGCTTTAAAAACAGATTAGCACTATACTTTTGTGGTGATGCCAAATTTTCTGGTGGGAGTTTGATGAATGGAAACATACTAATAAATCAGACAAGCCATCACTAATCTGTCATATACATGCTTATTTTTAAGACCCAGAATTCCCCCTCCCTCCCCCTGACAATTTCCTGTGCACCCTACTTCACCAACACTAATTCAGTACAGCCACTACCACAGTGTTGCTATGACCTGTTTCTTTCCCTTCCAGGATTGTACCCAAGCCAAGCATTGGTAATTGTTGACAGCATGAATGCCAAGTGCATTAATAATCAAGCACCTGTATTATTCAGTCTCCTTCTGGAGTTCTTCTCTCCAAGTAAACTGAAGCCATTAGGTTAGCCTTGATGGAGTGACAGCTCAAGAGCGAAGCCACTCAAGTCAGAATAAGGGATGGATTTGGTTTTTACAACCTCTATGAACACTTTTCACATGTTCTCCCATCCCCGTCCCTTTCCTGTTGGTGGCCATGTCGCCTGTATTGCTTGCTCTTCACATCTCCTAAGAGAGAACGGGAAAGCAGGAAGGAGGCTTCATGGGTCCTGTGCTCCTGAGCTCTATGGCTCCACTGCTGCTGAGGCCCTCTGACCTCATAAGCCTAATAATAGCACAACAGCCAGCTAGTGCAAGACGCTGAAGGGAAAGGCTTTTGTTTCTCATGTTCCGGCACCAATAGATGGGTGGCTGGGCCACAAGGAAGGGCTTCACTAACAAGCCAGTGGTGCCATGAGGGGGTTCCTGAACAGATGGCTGGAACACAGGACTCCTTCTGTGAGCTGCAAATTCCATTCCTATGGTGTAGCCCTGACCAATAAGACATAGGTCACACTCCGGCTGAGCCGTGCCACGCTCGCAATTCCTGTTGGAATCAGTGGGAGCTAGCTGTGTGTTCACAAGTTGAGGGCAATCTGGTTTCCACGGACGAAGACGAGAGAGAGGAGGGGAGAAAGGAAGAGGGTGAGAGAGAAGGAGGGAGGAGATCGAGAAACAATGAATATTAGTTTTTCCCAGGAGAAAGGACTAAGGATGTCCCTGTGTGCACTGGGATGGCCTTTCCTTTGCTGTTATGCATTACTCCCCTAATAGAAAGAATGAACAAGTATTCTATCTGTCTTAAATCCCATTTAACATTCATGACCAAAATAAACTGAGTTTTTGCCCTAATCTGGCTTGCTGAATGCTGTTTTTCAGCCCCAGGGAGAGGATCATTCCGTTGGAATTTCTTCCGGGTGTTTAGAGAGAAGGGAGCAGCAGTGGAGAGAAGGAACAGGCTGCTTCTATTCCAAGAGAATAATGAACACAGCCGCCCTCTGGGCCTGATTCTCTCTGCGGCAAATGGCTCATCCTGGCTTTCTGAAGCGCGTACCTCCCAAGAGCCGTTCAAGGTCACCACGACTGGCCTTCTCTGAAGCGTCTCCCCACTCTTCGAGGGTAAATCTCGATTTCTGTTTTTCTTCCCTCCAAAGGATTGCGAAAGGTTCTTCTGGTTTATCCCCAGATTTACAGTCTGTTGCCAGGGAGCTATCTACATGGCGCAGACACAGCACCGAGTGTGCTTTCTATTTTGTGTAGAGACTCTTCCAGGAAGGGAAGCAGAGGATACAAAACCAGGATGACCATAGATGTCTTACCAGCACTTTGGGACAGTACAGGGCCTGCTGTGTCCCAGGAGTACCACACCCTCCAACCTGAACACCATTCTTAATTAATATAATGTCACAACATGTTTTCATATAGGGAAAACGTGCTGGTATCTTCTTTTAAAAATATTTTCAGATTTTTTTTGGATAATCCTTCACCCTGTCTTATCCCCACCCCCACTTATCCTCCACCCACCCCCTCCTTTTCCTAGGACTCCTAACTTTCATGTCTTTTTGTTTTATTTTTGTTTTTGCTTCGTGACTCCCTGGTTCTAACAAGGGCCATTCATGTGGGCACGGGTGTAACGCCATCTATTCAAACATGAGCAGATGCTATGTCAAACATCTTAGCAGATGCTGTGTCACTGAAGACAGTGACTTCTCCAGCAGCCCCCCCGCCCCCCGACTGCCATGAGCTCCCCTGGCCCCATGACTCCTCCCCTAGTTATGACTGAACAGTTATGGGCTTAGTCTTATGTGGGCCTTATGGCATGTATGTGTCACCTACTGTGGGTTCATGAATGTTGTGGCCATACCCACCAGGCAGTCTTCTCCCTATCATTTGGTACTTCCTTTTTTTTTTGTCATTACTCCCCAATCCTTGGAAGGACTAATGTGGGTATGTCATTTAATGATGAGCACTCAACTGTCATCTGTTCTCAGCCCCTTGACCAGCCATGAGTTTCTACCTTAGCAGCTGTTTGCTTCAAAGAGAAGTTCCTTTCTTTCTTCTTTCTTTCTTCTTTCATTCTTTCTTTCTTTCTTTCTTTCTTCCTTCCTTCCTTCCTTCCTTCCTTCCTTTCTTTCTTTCTTTCTTTCTTGTTTGTTTTGCTTTTAGAGACAGGGTTTCTCTGTGTAGCTTTGGAGCCTGTCCTGGAACTTGCTCTGTGTAGACCAGGCTGGCCTCAAACTCACAGAGATCCACCTGCTTCTGCTGGGATTAAAGGTGTGTGCCGCCACACCCGGTGAGAAGTTTCTTTGATTAAAGCTGAGGATAGCCCTAGTCTATTGATATAAACATAAATATTTAAGTAGTTTGATTTATCTTTTTAGCCAAACAAAGGTGTGGGCCTTTGACTAGATCCCTGGTACTGGCATGACTGCCACCTGTGAAGTGGCTCTCAGATCCAATCATAAATCAGTTGCTTGGCCCTTTAATAGTCATGACACAGTTGAACCAGTAAATGCCTCTTGCCTGGAAAGTTCGTGTTGTAACATGCAAGATCTAAAGCTAGGGAAGACCATTGCTGACTTTCCTTCTCCTTACCTGCATGACGCCTCTGGTACTATGAAGGCTAGCCAACAGGGAGAAAGCGCTGGGTCAGTTACAACCATCTATGTATTCTACAACCAAGGTACGTTGTATCTTCGACAATAGGGCTTTTGCCATCCAGTTATTGCGAACATCTGACTGCAATAGCCAAAACCTGTATAGTTTGGAGGACCTCTGGGGCCTTACTGGCTAACAGTTCCTATCTAGGTGTCCCATGCTTGGCACTGAGATTTTCATTTTATAACCCTTAGCTTCTGGGATCAGCTTTATCCATCCACGGGCCCTAGTTAGCTTTAACTATCAACTTGATACAGTCTAGAGTCACCTGATTAGGGAGTTCCAATGGGGGGATATCCTAGATCTTATTGGCCTGTGGGCATATCGATGGGGGATTGTCTTGATTGTTGATGCAGGAGAGCCCAGTCCAGTGTGAGTAATACTATCTCTGGGCAGGTGGTCCTGTATGGTAGAAGAATAGTAACTAAGCATGAATCTACGAGCCAACTGGCGAGCAATGTCCTCTATAGTTCCTGCTGCACCACTTAGGCTGTGAAGTTTCTTGGTCAGAGGTAATGCTGTATGAAATAGCAAGCAGACCTACCTCTAAGTTCTCTGATTTTTTTTTTTTTTTTTGAGTAGGTTCTGGGAACTATAAACTTTCCTCTTAGGACTGTGTCATTGTGTACCATAGAGTTTAGTATGCTGTCTTTAATTTTCATTCCATGGTAGGATTTAAATTTTTTCTGTAGGTGGAGTTTTTGTCAGGACTGCCAGTCAGCTTTGTTCCACCAGCCTGCTCCCAAATAACTACACAGAGACTTAATATTAATTATAAATGCTCAGCTGATAGCTTAGGCTTTTTACCAACTAGCTCTTGCAACTTAAACTTACCTGTATTTCTTATCTACGCTCTACCATGTAGCAGTAACCTTTTTCAGCACAGCATGTTCATCTCCTGTTTTCTCTGTGTCTAACTGGTGACTCCACCCTCCTTTTTCCCATGCTCTCTCTTTGTCCACAATTCCTGCCTAACCTCTACCTGCCTAGCCATTGACCATTTAGCCCTTCATGAAACCGATCAGAGTAACCAATCTTCACAGTGTACAAAAGGATTATTCCACAGCATGTGTCCTTCTTGACTTCTTCAGTGATCCATTCAGCCATTTCAACAGTATGCTGTTCAATCACCATGTGTTTGGGTGCTTATGAGGTTCCTATTATGTGGTTGCTATTCATGTCTAGCTTTATTCCATTGTGATCAAATAAACTGTAAGATGTTGTTTCAATTTTCTTATAGTTGTTAGGGATTGCTTTGTGTCATAATATATGATCTGTTTTGGGTAAAGTTCCATGGGCTGCTGAGACAAATGTGTATTCTCTAGTGTTTGAGTAAAATGGTCCGTAAATGTCTGCTGGATCTATTTGTATTATGGTATCACCTCATGTTTCTCTGTTTATTTTTTCTTTTGTCTAGATGACTTGTCTCTTCATTAAGAGTGAGGTATTGGAAGTCGCTCAATGTTAGTGTGTTGGGGTTAATCTGTGACTTGACATTTAGCAGTGTTTGTTTTATGAAGCTGGGTGCACCTGTGTTTGGTGTCTATACACTTAGAATTGTAATCTTGATGGATGGTCCTCCTGAGTATGAAGCAACCTTCTTTATCTCTTATGACTCATTTTTTTGAAGTCTATTATGTCAGATATTAGAATAGCTGTGGTTGTTTGTTTCCTAGTTCCATTTGCTTGGAATATCTTTTTCCACCTTTTATGTCCAAGGTAGTGTCTATCTTTGATGGTGAGTTATGTGTGTTTCTTGGAGGTCACAAAAATGTGGTCATGTTTTCTAATCCAATTGTTAGTCTGTCTTCTTATTGGAGAGTTGAGACCATCAATATTCAGAGTTATTATTGAAAGAGCTATATTTGTTCTTGTTATATTGTTGATTTGTGGTGTCTTCTTGTATGTCTTTTGATGAACTATCCTCATATTGTTTAATTTTCCCCTGTGGCCTATTGAGAGTGCTTATCTTTCTCGTCAATCTGAAATATTCATCCCAATATCTTCTATAAAGCTGGATCTGTGGTCATAAATTCATTTATACTGTTTTTTCTTTGAATCATGAGAAGTTTTTTTTTATTGTTGTTTAGATGATGATAGGTAGTTTTGCTGGGCATAATTGTCTGAGTTGGCATTTGTGACCTTTCAGAACTTGAAATACATCTTTCCCATCCTATCTGGGTTTTAAAGTTTTTATCAGATAATTATCTGTTATTATGATTGGCATGCCTTGGTATGTGAATTGGCGTTTTTCTCTTGCGGCCTTTAGTAACTTTTCATTATTCTGTGCTGTTAGTTTTTTAGCATTATAGCTAAAATGGCATATTACAATGATGGGGGCAGGAGAGGGGAGGTTCCCTCCTGTTCCTTCTGTTGCTTGTTCTGTATGCATCTTGTATTCAATTGGCACCCTTGTCTCTAGGTTTGGGAGATTTTCTTCTCCAAAGAAGAATCTCAAATGGCTGAAAGACATTTAAGGAAATGCTCAACATCCTTAGTCATCAGAGAAATGCAAATCAAAACGACTCTGAGATACCACCTGACACCTGTCAGAATGGCTAGGATCAAAAACACTAATGACAGTCTATATTGGGGAGGATGTGGATCAAAGGGAACACTCCTCCACTGTTGGTGGGAGTGCAAACTTGCACAACCATTGTGGAAATCAGTATGGCAGTTTCTCAGAAAATTGAGAATCGATCTACCTCAAGACCCAGCCATACCACTATTGGGCATATACCCAAGGAATGCTCAATCATACCACAAAGATACATGCTCAACTATGTTCATAGCAGCACTATTCATAATAGCCAGAACCTGGAAACAACCTAGATGCCCGTCAGCTGAAGAGTGGATTAAGAAAATGTGGTACATATATACAATGGAGTACTACACAGCAGAGAAAAACAATGAGAGCATGAAGTTTGCAGGCAAATGGATGGAACTAGAAAAAATCATCCTGAGTGAGGTAACCCAAACCCAGAAGGACAAACATGGTATGTATTCACTCATAAGTGGATTCTAGATATAAAGCAAAGAACAATTAGACTGCAACCCACAGAACCAGGGAGGCTACATAGCAGGGGGGACCCTAGGATGACTGTGGCTTATAATAAGTTTTGGTTTTACTCAATCACTGGGCAAGCCTCAATGAAACATTTCACTATTAGGATAAGGATTTGTACTGTATCAACCTGATAATAGAAAAAAATAATAAAAAAAAATAATAAAAGAAAGAAAATATTTTTATGCCTTGAGCATAAAATTCTTCTCCTTCTCCTTGTTCATAGTGCATATATTTGGCCTTTTCGTGGTGTTCCTAACTCCCCCGTGTTCTGTTTTTAGTGCTTTTGATTTTTCATTGACTTTTGCTGAATGTTCCAATTGCTCTTCCTTTTCTTCAAGCTGTGGTATTCTCTTCTCCACACGATCCATTATCTTTGATAGTGAGCTTTTATTTG